TGTCAGAAACGTTAGGGAAAGGGAGATCTTTGGGGGTGTAGAGAGAGCAATTTCAAACCATGAGCCACGTTTAGGCCTCTGATGAAGACGATCTAGTCGAAACGTCAGGCCATAATAAAAGTTCCACCTACCAACCTCGTGTGCACAGAAGAATTTATCAAATGTAACAACAATGCCGAGGTTTTACGAAGAGAGAAGTTGGACACTACTCCATAGAGTTTCTCTGCATACTTGCTCATGCTATACTGTCAAATTTAGGGGGAATGCTGGTCTAATTTTAACTACAAATGGGATTGTGCTTCAGTCCGTAGGGCACATTCATGTGGGCTTGAGCTTGTACACACACTGCTCAGGCGTTCAGTCAGGAGGAGGAGCTAACTTTGTCAGCGAGTGGGGAACCACGAACGCTGATGAACAAGAAGGAGACAACTGCTCTAAATCGGGCGTGAAGCTACAAGTAATGGGTTCAAGGATCCGAGCGATTACGCTGCGCTTAGACTCATTGTGAAAAATTTTTTACTGAGATGTGATGTGCGATAATGAATCAGTGGCTTCGCAAGGCTAAGACTCATGGAAAGGTGATTGTGGCGTGAAAGAAATGAGAAAAGCTTGAGTCTGGCAACGATTGCGGTCCTATTTATCTGGGCACATTAACTGTTTAATTCACTACGAAGGAAATTGTATTTTATGCGCGCTAATGTCAGTTTGTCACCAACACTTGCTTATTCTTTTTTCATATTCCAGTTTAACACCTAGCCTTTTTTTCTGCATACCTCCACTGTCTTAGGAAGAGTCAGAAATGCAAATTGAAAAGTCTTTTCCGAATCCTTCGAGAGAGGCTTCTCGTTTGAGGTGGCCATTGCGCTACACTGGGACGCAAGTATGCTTCTGCTCGGTCGCAGCTTTGAAAAATCAACCTTAGACAAGGCGGCAATACTCTTTGGCCGCTCTGTAGATGGTGAAAACAACTGGAAATCCCAAAATAAATGTAAAATATGAAAATGTCTTGCAAACATTGGCCACATTTGAAAAATTAAGGGATTTTATTTGATCAATCGCAATAAAAACAAGTTCAAAAATTACAAAATACGTTCAAAATTGCCTTCTCCAGCCTCAAGACATTTCCTCAGTCACTTGCTTTCACTCTCTTCATATTTCCCGATAACAGTAGCGCATCCTTCTACTG